AAATGGTTCGAAGAAATGAATGCAATATAGAACACACAAAGATAGTTTTATTTATATACACAGAGATGCAAACTTGCTTCGGACAGCAAATGAATATTTAAAAGTGGTAGTTTATTAATTGCGATTCTTGGTTTAATAAATTCAATTTAGTAGATTTTTATCCACCACTATTTCTAAATAATTCGTAGGCTTATATAATTCACCACTTTTCTCAAACATGTCAAGGGGCCTCCCTGGCGGAGCGGTATCGCCCGTCAAAAGTAGTGTGAAGCGTGGAGGTGGCAGGTTCGAATCCCGTCGTAGCCCTGGATGCATACCTTCCAGCTGCTACGGAATTCCCGTAGTTTCAGAAATCTTCTTTTCAGACGGTAGCAAAATTAATGTCTTAATATTTAAAAAAAATTAATTTTAGCGTAACTTGTCCACTATTACTTATAAGAGTGCAGGCCATATGGCTAGATTCTTAAGTTCTGATAAAAGTTTTATGAGAGATCCATTTGCTTTAAAAATTTCTACTTTGGTTCGCTACCACTAGAAAGAATTATTTTCAAAATCTTCGTAAGTTGGAGGGTATGTGGATGTATTCTTTGTGATGTCTTTCTCTACATTGTCCTATCTGTCCTTCTACTTGACAAAGGTTTATAAGCCTAAAATTGAGCGAACGAGCCTGCAAATGTATGTAATTTCAATAAAGTGAACACGTCAAGCTAAACCTTTTAAAAAAAACTATCAAAATCTGTCTAATATTTGCAGTTCTTTACCGTTGTGGCCAGACGGGCAAGCCATGTAAAATTAGCGTGGCATTCAGCGTGTTAATATCCTCTCATTGTGACTTCAAGGACTAAGGAGCATTTTATTTAGATATTTAAGGTAGTTAAATGTTAGGTCTATACCAGAAAAGTGCACACCTAATTTTATAATAATGCAAAAGGTTCTTGGTAAATTATTCTTCGAATTTAGTCCTGTAATCAATAATATGGGATTTGTTTGCTGAACAATCCATTGATCCGTTAAAAATATTATAATGGTAAATTAATTTTTGTCATTAAATATATTTCATGTTTTTAAATAGTTATCACGAAACGTTCCTCATAACTACTATGGTATGTTAACTCAAACTGGTATATAGAGTTACGTTAAAACTGCAAATTTTGTTCCAATTCTGCAACATTCCAAACATTTCAACTGTAACTGTTCAGCCAGCAAAATGAATGCAAAGCATTCCATAATGCTAATACAGTCAACCCCACTTAAAGGAATACCATTTGTTCTAGCTAACTCTATTAAATTAAACGGGGCATTCGATTAAAAGAGGAATGCTTTATTCATTCTTTAATTATACATTTTTTAAAAATTTCAGTTTCAATGGTGTTTAATGAATAGTGTAATTTTTTGATTATAAATAAACTACTTTATGAGCAATAAACAATTGTAATTAAAGCTGTCTGTGTTAGCATCATAAAAAATGAATGTTATTTAAAGTTCACTGGAGGGCGCAATGATTATTCTACATAAGAGAAAGAAACACTGAATACTAGTGTTTTAGGTTTTTGAAACCTTTTCCTATCAAAATTAATAGCGCACTAGGAGGGGACTGCAAGTCTTGACCACAAAACAAATCACTCTGTACCTTTTTTACATTCTAAATGAGATGTGAGTGAAGTAAGTAAAAGATGGGTAAAATCTCCTTAATTTACTTCAATGTATAACTGCCAGCAAGGTTAGATTTATTCTTACACTATACCCCTAATAATCAGATAATTAGAATGTAGAGCAACAAATAAACAGAAAGTCCCTATTAAAGCTGCCACCTATTGTATTCCTATTTTCTTAACTGAAAATTGGAAATTCCATTCTAACTGGTGAAACATTTCTCAAAAATAATTTTTTCTTTCCTGTACCTCTTTTTTATGCAAATAAGCGGGGACTAGAAACAACAAGTATCAGTTTAAGCGAGAAAATTAAACATTAGTTTGATATATAATGAATTGGTTCCGTTATATTTTATTTGTATAAGAGGGTTATTCGATTACCCGATATGCAATGCATCGATTATCCGATAGGACTGTACTCTCATCTGTAAAGAAAAGGAAAAATATTTGCACAAATTGCTTTACATTTACCTAGATTGTTTCCTCGAGCAAAGCGCATGAACTTCATCCTTAGCTACAGCCAGCAAACTGAAGTTTTTGAGCAAGCTGCTTCCTAATATTTTCAATTATTTTAATTTCCTCGAGCAAAGTGCTTGAACTACTTATCCAGCAACCACACGGACAGCTGACCTCACAGTGTTAAAACAAAACTTTAGAAAAAATTCATGGCGGATGGGATAGAGGCCACTTCTCGACCCAGGTGCCTAGTTCCAGGGCACTATGACTATGCAAATTTTGCATCGAATTAGTTTAAAGTTCCTTCACCATGATCACCTTGTATTCTTACTTCTCCTTTATCAACAACTCAACTCATCACCCTCCTATTTCTCACACAGCACAGAGGATAAAAGAGAAGAGCAAAGATCCTCTTCTTTCTCCAACTCAGAACTGGGTGAAAATTTATTGCGGGTTGTGGTTGCTGAACTTGGTAAATTTCCACTACTTTGATGCTAAGCTAACTACTATGGTAATATCAAAACTACCGGTAAAATTCTGTCCGCTAAAGAACACGCCTCATTATACACAGAAGCGAAAGGTGTCTTTATAAAAATCTAGTAGTACTCATGCACGTTTGCGCTTTTTAATGCTGTCTTTTTGGACTAGAACATTATCATTGAGTTAAAGAGTAAATACCCCAACACTTTCTTTTTAAAAAGAAAAAAGTATTTTGCATTACTGTGCGCAAAATAAAGAACGGGCCACCCTGAATTACTTTTGGTCTAATGATCAGATTTTCACATTCTTAGATTCAATCTTAATGGTTCGAAGTTTATATAATTTAAAAGTCTCAAATATGCAAATTAATTAGTGCAGATTATATTTTAAGTTACAAAATCAGATATAGAAACGTACTTTCTCTGAATAAACATTAATTTATTTCGGCAGATTTAGATTTCTGACCTCCAAAATAGCCGCAATCTGAGAAATATGGTACGAATAGTTCGTTCAGGAGAGCTGTCCAAAGTTTGGACCCTATGACGTTAATTTTATTTTTGTGTATTTCACCATATCTCGAGAACTTTTTACGCGAATGGAAAATTTTTTGCCCACAATTATAAAATTCATTTATCCAAAGATTATTGCATGAAAATTTTTTTTTAGCAAATATTTGTTAATTTTTGATAATAGATAAAAAAAAATTTGAATTGTAAGGTGTGTACTTTTACATAATTTTAAAGAGTGCAATTTTAAAATTTAAGCAAAATCTCTCAATTAGTTCATAAAAAATCGAATTTCAAAAATACAACTTTTTCAAAATTCGATTTCTCAGGAACTGTTCGTCCGATTTCGTTCCAATTTTGTTTTTTTTTCATATAAAATTACATTCTTTAAAAATGATGTAAAAATTTGCATGCCTTATAATTCAAAATTTTTCGAATATTATTAATAAAAAAGGAATAAATATTTATTAAAAGTTATATTTTAAATGGAATTATATCGTTAAATGAATTTTAGAATTGTCTACAAAATTTTTTTTAATTTGCTTAAAACGTTCTCGAGATACGCAAAAGTAAAATTAACATTGAGGGGTCAAAACTTCGAAACGCTCTCCTGAACGAACTATTAGAACCATGTTTCCCAAATTGCTACTAAGGCCTATCCTTTATGAGTCGGAAATCCAAATCCGTCGAAAAAATTACAAGTTTATTCCGAGAAGGTACGTTTCTGTGTCTGATTTCGCAACTTAAAATATTGTCTGCACTAGTTAATTAGCATAATTTAGGTCACCCTCTTGAACTTGAGTGTCATTGTTAAGCGTAAGCTACTAATCAGCATGACTTATTATGTATCTTTGGATAAACCAATCTTACTAAACCAAGAATCATAAATAGCATAGTTTTCCTCATGGAGTGGAGCAGGCTCTTTTAGTTTTAATTGTTGATTTTTACGATTTATGCAGATCTGCCAACTTTTTACCTTTTTTTGTAAAACTTAGTTCTAGAGGTTTAAAAAGTCTTCCGAACTTTATGTATTATGTCAATGTATTACTTTTTATTCATTTGAACTTGTTTTCCACACCACTACATATAAATTCCACACCACTACATTCAAAATTTCATATTCGAAGCCACTTTGTTCCAGCTCTTTTGTGGTGAGGCTTTTAAATTGTTGACAAAATTATCAAAAATTCTAAAAGCTTTGGTTTTTAAATGTCTCCCACTCTAAAAAACATTTTGCAAAAAGTGTAGTAGTTGGCAGGACTGTTTATGTGTTCATATGTTTAATTAATCAATAATGAAATAGGTATTATATCATGTTAACTTCTTTCTAAAAGCTAAGATGTTAAGTAGTGTGAATTTTTAACCCTTTGCACACCGATGTCGTCTCAGAGGCGCCATCAATAGTAACCATTCTAAAATTGAACATTTTTATAATTTAATAATTACATTAACTACAACATTTCAGGAATTTTGAAAATTATGTTTAAATACCCTGTGATATATTTTAACACGTTCACGCCGGGATGACCAACCGGTGGACCATATTTTCAGCACCGGAGTAATAACTGGTAACAATAAATTTCATTTTTTAGTTTTTTTCCGGGAACAATAAAAATCCATAACTACCAATTGTTTTTAACGGATGCAATTTTTATATTGAATTGCTTCTTCGCCGCGATAGATTTCCTTACAGTGAATTGTTATTGATGAGAATAGATTAACTCCTCCCGATTATTATCTAATATAGAAATAGTTCTTCTACCAGTATTTTCACTTTTCCCGGCGTGAACGTGTTAAATTAATTCAGACAACATTTTAAAATACAAGGAGTGCAAAGGGTTAAAGATATTCAGAATTAATGTGCCAGTAACAAACAGCTGGAAAATAAAATCAAAAACACAAAATGTGAGGAAATGTAAAACTGAACATTTTATTTTTACCATTTTCTAATTTAATTACACCAAAGGAAAAACATGAACACTCTTTGGATGAGGAACTTGACAAGGATATGAAGGATCTGAATAAAACATCTTTACCACAATATTTTACTCCTTTTTTAAAGTCCTGAAAATGTTCAGTATCTGGTGGGTGTCCATCAATATATATATATTAAATTAAGTCTCAAAGAGGCTCTATACTCTCGTAAAAATTCATCACAGTTTATTACACAGAGCTATTCCCCAAAATTTCAACGAATTCAGAGAATTGACGAAATCACAATAGAATTTTCTTTACTATATATACATTTGGAATGGAATTTTAAACAAAGATATCTTCGCGGGCAATACTGATAAAGGAATGGGTACGCAGTCATAAGCACCTGAAGTGTCAGTAAGTCCATTATAAATAAATTGTGCTAGATTTGAAAGCAACTTAGATGGAAATTCTCGACATTTCCCTGAAAGTAGACAATAAGTTAAAACAGAAATTTAAAAAAAAAAATCACAGTCGAAAGTCTTCACTGCTGGTGAATTGAAATCAAATCATATACCGTCCTATTTGTCAGAACACAGATTTATTTATAAATCGGGAAGAAGGGAGATTTAATTCTATGACATCACAAACATCTCTCATTTAGATAAAGAGGATTGTTCACCTCATTGGCACTGATGTCAATAATTTCACAAGTATTTATTAGCCCACAGGAGATTTATAAATTTAATTTCAAGATGCAGCTGAGTTATTTTCTAGTTTCACCCTGTGGTGATGGTGATCTTCTTTTTCACAATGCGTGTCCCTATCTTGCGCTGAAAGAAAAACTTTGGGACAATCATCAGTAGGGCAGGGTAATAGACTAGGTAGATGAGTCCCTTCGTAATGGTCCTTTAGATGGGCAGAATCAGCAAAGAATCTTTGACAAAATTTACAGGGAAATCTACCGTCTGCGTCCGGCTCTAATTCGGATTTCAAAGTCATAGGTTTCCTCGTGGGTCGACCTGATTCCTCTTTATCAGGTGAAATGGATGATGGGGAGGATGATTTAGGCCTTGGACTTGGGGTGGAACTTATGGAACTTATAGGGGTGTCGTCACGACCGTCTGAGATTCGAGTAGCACTTTCATGAAGAGAAGAACCTGATGTGGATGTTGTTGGAACCATGAAAGCTGGATGAAATGGATTCATTACACCCAGAGCGCCTGCTGGTCCTAATGGATTGCTGAATGGTGTAGATGGTAAAAATCCTTCACCGAATCTACCATGATAGATGTTCAGAGGTAGATTTTGAGGGTCATAAAGTCTCGAAAAATAGTCATCCCTTAATCCGATTCCTGGGTGAGGATAAGGAAATAGAGAACTTTTATCAAAAAAGTGGCCTTTATCGGCTGTTGTTGATAGAAGTTTTCTGTGTAAGTTAAGATTCGCACTGTGGCGATCTCGACTTCTCTTGGAAGGAAATGCTGCATTACAGCCTTCAACGGTGCATTTGTGCATAAGTTTTAGATGAACGTTTTGATAGTGAGTTTTTACTCCGAAATGGTTCTGGAATATCTTTCCACACGTGATACATCGCCTAGGATTTTCCTTATCCACCGGTATGTCCACGGTGCCAATCATGGAAGCATCACGGTATACCGGTAGAAGTGACATTTGGCCATCTTGATCGGAATCATTGGATGACATTCCGATTCCACTACTTGGAATCGATAAAGGGATTGATTGTGATTCAGAAGGTGGTACGTGAGAGCGTCTCTCTCGTGTAAGATCTGGAATGGTTGTTGAAGAAGGAGTTGAAGCTAAGCCAAGTCCAGGTGCGTGGTAAGATATTCCAGTCGGAGGAGTAACATGCTGGGAGAAACTGGACTTGTGGTTTAGAAGTCCGGTAAATGCCCCTAAAGACAATGTCTCCAAGTACCGTAGAGGACTTTCAGACACCTCTTCAGTTTCATGATTACTTTTGATAACAGGATCCTTGTGTTTAACAGAAAGATCTAGTGATTTCATTTCCTCTTTCGATTGCATTTTGTCGATGCTGAAGTTTGAAACAGCATGAGATGTTGCCATCGGTGACTTTCTTTCTCTCCTTTCATCTGGCTTCGAAAAGGTCAAGACAGGTGGGGAGGAATGATTTACTGATGTAGACATTGGAAGAGAAGTTGGTAAATATGAAGAAGTGGTGGGAATAGAGCTTAAGTCCTTCACCAATTCCTCATCTTTGGAATCATCTTCCATCATATCTGAACTGCAATCATCAGACTTAGAAAGCATACCATTATCGTCCACAAAAGTGTCACTGCTGCTATCATCAGTTGAAACATATTGCAAATCATCATCACTTGTCACTGTGGCACATTTTGTTGGATTGAAACTCTTCCTCTTCCTTACCCCTTTATTATTCATAGTAGAATTTCCATTCTGGTCTTCCTTCATAGAGAGATCGATGCCTTCGTCTCCGTCGTTACTTACATCACCGTTAATATCATACCTTGGCTGTTTGGTAAGAGGCAGAGCTTCATCTGGTGAGTTATAACTTGGTCTTGAACGGTGTGAAAATTGGAGACCTGGATGAGAAAGACCACCGTCTGGAGATGAATCATCCATTGTGCTTGATGGAAGGTTCGTGTCCATTTTCCCAAAATTCTCAGACTGGGAATGATTTCTTCTTTCACCCATTTCTCTTTCAGACGGTAAAGGAGGCGGTAAAGATAACATATTTTTATTGCTGCCACCATTGCTATAATTCATAAGCGTGGACGGCGGTATAAGTGGAAACGGTAAAGAGCTACGTCCGTCGTGGTGAGATAGCTTTCTTCTGAGATTTGGCGTGTGAAGTTTGGGATTTGGATTGGCACTGTGTCTATTACGACTTCGACGAGAGCTGAACATCATATTGCAACCATCCACTGTGCATTTGTGCATTTCGCGCAAATGCACAGCGCTGAAATGGATCTTTAGAGCTCCTTTATCACAAAAAGTTTTCAAGCAAACATGGCACTGAACTCGTTTCTTCCCTGTTGCAGGATTCGTCGTCAATCCACTCAACATGAGGGGATTCCATCGACGTTTCATGGGATTCGCGGACTTCCTCAAATGTCTCACTTTCTTCGCAGCGTATATTGAGTCCAGGTGACTGTGGCCCATCATAGAAAAGCTATGATGCGTCAATGTAGGTGGGTGCTGAGAAAGATTTATTGCTTCAGAATCGTTCTCCGATCCTTCGTCGGTGGCGCTGAAATCGGATGTCATGCCGAGTTGGGAAGAGTTGTTAGAATTGGCGTATGTCTCGCTCAGTGTAGTCGTGGATTGTGAGAAGAAAGAGGAAGTAAATGTAGCAGACGTGTTCATTGATGTATTAGCGGTTGTGGGAGATGGAAGGGGTGTAGAATTTTGGTGATGGGTTTGATGAGGGAACTGGAGAGTTGGAATGTCTCGAACATCAGGGCTGTTGTTTCGATCTCTTCTGTAATCATAAGGTTGCATGTTTTGAAGTTTGTTTAATGGAGATGACGACAGAGGACTATTCACAGGGGATCTCGGAACTGGAGATAATGATGTCGTGGAACTAAAAAAGATGAAAATGTATTTATTATAACAAATATTTATAAAAAAAGGAAATGCAAACACAAATGTATTTCTACATTTTAAGTTTAAATTAATTATTTTGCCCCAGATCTTTAATTTAATTAACGAACAAAAACAATGAAAACGTTAAATATGACCTATTGTTCTATAAATATTTATTATAACAAATATTTATAAAAAAAGGAAATGAAAACACAAATGTATTTCTACATTTTAAATTTAAAATAATTATTTTTCCCCAGATCTTTATTTTAATTAACGAACAAAAATAATAAAAACGTTAAATATGACCCATTGTTTTATAAATATTTATTATAACAAATATTTATAAAAAAAGGAAATGAAAACACAAATGTATTTCTACATTTTAAGTTTAAAATATTTCTTTCGCTCTAGATTTTTATTTTTAATTAATGAACAAAAATAATAAAAACGTTAAATATGATCCATTGTTTTTGGGCTACTGGAAATGGCTCATTACTAAACTATTCCATAAGTGATTGAATTAAATTCTCTTCAAGGATTTTACCTGTGCTGATAGTTAAAAAAGTTGCCATTATAAAACTGAAACTAGTGACTAATGTTTGAAGCAAATTAGCTACATTTTATTACTAGTATCTTAGCTAATTTTCGTAAAAAAAATATCTATCCTACATATTTAACCGCTAGTTATTTGTTCTGATAGTCACAAATGCATTGATTTTCTTATGCTTATCGATAAAATGATCTTCATCTGCACTCTTAGTTTTATCAAAGTGCTGTTCTAATTTATCAGAACAGAATCTCATGCTAATTTAATTTAAAATTGTGCAGTTTAAAAATGTTTTCTAATGTTATAATTGTAGTTTTATTCACTTATATATCTTTTGAAATGAGATTATTAGCATCTAAATTAAAGAGGTCCCGTAAGTTCACAATTTAACGAAAAAAAATTAGTTTCCATTTAGGTTTAAGTCTTGCCTTAAAATATACATTAAAAAGACTTTATATCTAAATTTATGCATATCCTTTACATTTAATCCACCAAATTACACATTAATCATGTTGCGTATATCTTGCCACTTTCTAATTACTAAGGGCGCATTTTAATTTTAATATACTCAAATCTAATATTAACCTTTTATCGGGAGAATTTATTCTTGTAATGTTACGTTAAAATAATTTTAAGGCTGAGATTGATTTATAAAAAGAAATTTACTTGGATTATTACCTAAAATTAATTTGATTTTAGAAACCTTTTTTTCTGTGGTAAAGTGTGTGGGATTTTCAAGATTTTACTTGATGTAAAGAAATGGTCATAAACTCAAACGTATGTGCTTACAAATAACCGAATTTATAAAATTCTGCGTTAGTTATTACGAATAAACTTGATGAATAATGATCAAATGCATGAAAGCGTAATGCACAAGAGAAGATAGCTTGATTTTGGCCTCGCTTCTTGACCCCATGCGGACTTTTACTGTTACCTATATTTAAGTAAAAAAAGCCCTTTATTGGTGTTTTTTTGTTTTGTATTTTCTGAAGTTATCAGCAAATGGTCGCACAAATCATAGGCGGTAAAATAGTATCCCACACAAATTTAAAAATGTAGCGCGGTGCATAATTTCCAAGCTTTATAAAGTCAAGTTAAATAAATGAAACTCACCTGACACTTGATGCAGGTTTATTTGGTCTACTTTGCATAGAAGATAATGATACAGAATTATGTGTAACCGTAGCTGTGGATGAAGGCAAGCTGACACTGGGTGGTGGTGGAATGATGGGGGGAGGGATGCCTGGAAGCAGACGACTTGTCCTTTGGATGAATCTTTTGATGTCTGAGTCAGAGTATTCCTTTGAGGTTTGGATGGCTTCTTCCATTCTCTCACTCGTCTCTTGCAGAAGAAGTTGTTGTGCGATGGGTTTCGTCTCACCGAATCGAAGGAATTGTTGCAAAATAAGAGGCTCCTCTTCTCGGCTGGGAATCGTCCACTTTTCCAAGATTTGCCCCCGAGTGTCCTGAAATTTAAAATGTCAAAATTGTTACATAATTGATTGAGTTCAAATAAATTTGAAGGATGATAATCACGGAGCATTTATTTTTTTCAAGAATCTAATATTTAATTAACTATAATCTTGTCAACTAATATTTTAAAATAATTTTTAATAAAAACTGTAATTATTGATACTCGTAAGTTGAAATTCAAAAAAATTAAGTTTACTTTATTTGCTATTTCCCTTCCACTGTATTGTGGGTTGGTAGGATTTCAAGGTTATCATTTATGATAAACTAATCTAAAAGTGGAGTTTTATTCGCAAAATTTTGAATAGAATAAAATATTTTGTGCTTGTGATAAGAATTTAGGCTTGTATTTTGTGCTGCTTTCCTCCAATATTTGTAATCTAAAAAACCTTAAATACATGTTTTACAAATTTGCTTTTATATCTTTGTTTAAGATTTAAGTGGACGCTACATCACAGGAGAAACTATTTTTGGCAAATTCTCTTTATCTTCCATAAGTAATTTAAACACCTAAGTTCTGAAAATCGAATTCAGGTGTACCTGAAGTAAAGTATGAAATTTCAAACTGCTAAGAAAAAAATTTAAAATATCCCAATGCAAGTAAATTATAAGAGGATTATTCAGCACTAAGTTGAGGAGAAGTTCTCCAATAATTTGATTGCATTTTGACATTTTGAAAATATTTATTTTTTCAAAATTTGAAGCCTCATGGCTTACTCTAAGTTTGTCTGAATTCACTTTTCTCCTTACTTTAATTTTTAATACACCAATAATAATAAAAATAGTAATAAAACAGAATTTACGATTTAAATTTTCGTCAGTAGTATAGCGTTCTCTTAACATTGCATTAAGTTATAATTAAATCTGAATGTTTATTGTGTTTTAACTATTAAATGATTATTATTTTGAATTACTTATTGACTAGATGTCCTTTTACATTTAATATTGTGCACATACAATGTTGTTTTATGTTACCATCTACACATAAAATGGCGATCTCCAATTGAGGACCTAGTCATTTTATAAAATGCCTTGTATATTTAAGTAAAGCATGAAACATGGTAATTATTATATGTTTTGCCTAGCCATTATATAGAATGTTCCATACGTTTTTCATTGGTCATTCTATATAATGCTTAAGCAATGAGTGAAATATCAATAATTTCATGCTTTGACTGCCGATTTTAGGTGTTTCATAGTATTCCGATATTCATACCTTGACAGAACGATTATAGTATCTTTGAAATATAAAGTGAGTTTTTTGATAATTTTTTTTTATCTAAACACAAAACAACAATTGTAGTGTTCCTTCGGAGTTCAGGGACTTATTATATTAGTGTCAAATGCTTATTAAAATAAAAATTATATTTCTGAAGATGAGCATTATTCCTTGAAGAGAATTTAAACTGAAAAAAAAAAGAAACTATGTAATTGTCAATAAAAAAATTAAAAAAACTTTTTAAATTCTTTTAATATTTTCAATTGATTTCGAACGACCTTAATCACTCTCTTTTAACGGGTTAAACACAAAAATACGAACTCCTGCTGCATATCAAGAATAGACTTATAGCAAAGAAAAAACTAGATTTGTATGTACGCTTGGATGTTCAAAGAAGAACACTGCGGTAAAAAAGGAAAATTTTTGCTCCAAACTCAAAAGACGCACTTCACGGTCCGCCGCCCACCCAAACACTAATTAAATTTGAAGTATTTCTACCTGCATTGTCAGCGTACCTCAACCCTTTAACTCAAACGATTATTTCCTAGACGCCTTTGCCAATCGGCAAAATTCAATGGTTGTCATTTTTAAAACACTTCCTTAAGTTCGATTCAATGGCTGTCTAAATAGCATAATGAATTTTATTTATTTCAACGAGAGATGCTGAAGATAATAAATAAATAAATAAATAAATATGAGCTCATAAAGAGTGGGTATTTCAGGTGGTTATTATACCTTCACTTTATACATTGATATAACATTTACCTTCAGAATGTCTTGTTTATTAATTCAATAAGAGAAATCAACCATGATAAGTTTTATGCATGGGATGATACATTAATTAAAGACTTTCTTTATGCCTGCAATTCTATATTTATGGTGCATTTTTTTCTGATTAATAACGAACAAAGTTACAATGGCCTGATAAAAAATTATTGCTGAAATATTTCGTTTAGTGCATTTTTTTCTTTTTGGTTCAAAAAAATATAGCGTAGTAGAGTCACAAGCTCATTTTTCTTTGTTCATAACAATCATAGCGTAGAAGAGTCGCAAGTGTACTTCTTTTTTTGTTGTTGTTGTTGCTCAAAACACAAACATAGCGTAGTAGAGTCGCAAGTGCATTTTTTTTTGTTTATAACAAACACAGCGTAGTAGGCAATGTACAGATTAAAAAGAAATGAAAAATTATCTGATATCTACATATAGTAAATTATATATAATATATTAAATGTTGCTATATATTTAGTGCTCCTGTTTATTTCGGTTTTCGACGAATACTATACCATAAAGTCACAGTATACATATAAAATGAAAACTCGCCTGAAACTATATATTTGTTGCGTTTGCTTATACTATTATGCAGTGTAATCGTGATAGCTTGGTAAAAAATTAGCCCTACGGAATGTTACATTTCATGTATATTTTCAGAATAATAACGAACATTATATTCACAATATCTTGATCAAAAAAATGTCTGAAATTCTCTATTTTATCCATTTTTTTTTCTGGTTAATGGCGGACATTATTTTGAAAAGCCAGAATGTCTTGATAAGAAAAAGAACGCTTGAATACTTTGTATTTAGTGCATTTTTTCTGATCAACTAATTATTTCTCAACCACAAAAAGTGGCATATTTATGAAAAGTGGTAGTCTATATTTGTTTATAACAAATGGATATTACTTTCTGTTGCCAAACACTTTAGTTTCAAGAAACAATGTGCTTTAATTTTAGCTCCAAATATATATNTATATATATATATATATAGGAGAGAAATTAAAAGAACTTAAATTTAAAGGTATAAACTCATTGCTTTTCCCCCCTATTCGTTTCTTATTTATTTTAAGTTTTAAAAGATTGCAGAAATTCTAATTATAAACGCTTAATCATTATAGTAGCATCTAGAGCGAAACAAAAAAAAGAAGAAAAAAAAAGAAGGAAAGAAAAGCGTAAGCATATTTCAAAGAAAAGACCGATGTATTCGGTCATCGTAATGAACTGTCGCCAAGAATGACATGAAACATGACACAAACTACGTTTTCTTTTCCTCCTTCATTAAAGAAGCAACGAATTAAAATGACTTACGTCTAGAAAGAAAGATGACACTTATGACCGATTAGTCCTGGAAAAAGATTCCACGAATAAGGTTAAAGACTTTTCTAAAAACTAGCGTTTATTTAAGGTAAAAAGAAACTGATTGACATCAAATATTTAAAAATATTCTCTGAAGTGATTTTTAATACTTATTAGCTCCGCAATCATTTAAAATCTGAAGAAAAATGTTTAAGAGGCACTTATTTCGGACATTGGGAGACTTGAAAAATAAGTCATATAAATAATAAATCTAATAACCATTAACCCCTTGGGGACGGGTGATTCAGAAAAGCATTCGTACAAAAAGAGGATCAGGACGTAATTAAATAAAAAACGGTAACTTAAATGTAGTCGTTTCTAATTTGACAGACCTACTTTGCTTTTACTTTAATTATTGTTAGTTTAATCATACATATAATCAATGTTAATTCAAAGTATAACTAAATAGTTTTATTTTGAACAAAGTAATGGTGAATTAAATAAATAAAACAATTCTAACTCCGCCCACAAATAATCTGCTAAAGAAATACTTTGATTACCAGTTTTATCTTTTTATCCTGGTTGACACGGTTTTATGCTGGCACGTATTTGTGACAGTCGGCGCGAAAGGGTTAAGGAAATAACAGAACGACGTAATAATTTTTGATCTAATATCGCGCACTATCATGCAATCCAAGTTAATTAAATAATTCTTAAAAAATTGAGAAACTAAATAGTAAAATATGCTAATTAATTTATGCAGATAATATTTACGAAAATCGGACACAAAAACGTAGTTTATTTAAAGAAACATACCTACTAACTAGGAATCTTTATATATTTAACAATACACTTTTTCAACTAATAAATTAAACTATAAATAAAAATGACAAATTTTTTACTCAGAATTATCATTTGATAAATGAGATTAATAACTGCCTGCAAATTTTTTGATTCGTTTAAATAGTTCCAGATACATGGAAAGGAGCTAGTCAGGATAGACGTCAAACTTTTGGCCGCTATCCTGACTTGACAATTAAAACTATATTTTCCAAATAACGGCTACCCCCCTCACCATTATTTTAGAATCAAGAATCCAAATTTCTGTTTCTGAATATGTATGTTTCTAAGTACATTTTTGTATCTGATTTCATAATCTAAAGTGAAGCTTTCCCAAATTAACTAGCATATTTAAGATTAGACCCTCGAACTATTACAATTGCATGTTAGAACGCGAAAATCAGATTTAGAAATCAATAGTTGTTAGTATATATTGATCAGCCTAGTGGTTAGAGAATCGGATTTCAGTCCGGAGGGGCCAGGGTTCGATCCTCGACTCCGCAAGATCCACCGAATACATGCGACAAACGTGATGGTAAAATCTGTGTTAAGTTCTGTGATCAGTCGCTGAGTTGTACTATGGGTACAGTGATCTGTAGAAAATTTCCTGTCTAAATTATGGAAGTGGCCTCACGAATGGGTGGTACTGCCATCTATCCGTGGGGTTTTGAGCTAAGACGTACTTTCACCCTTGTGGGACTTTCTCGTCAAACGAAAAGAGCACCCTCCTGACTTAATTCGGAAAAGGCCGACGGCTGGTGAGTTGGCTTGTCCAAGTGTCATTACAAACAACAACAGAATGTTAATCTCTCAGAAAACCGTATGTTTATTCAGAGAAAGGACGTTTTTCTGTTTGATTTCGTAACCTAAAATATAGTCTGTACAGATCAATTAACCTGTTTAAGATTAGACCCTTGAACAATTAAGATTGAATATTCGTACATGGAAATCATATCATTAAATCTATAGTTATTAGAAAATTGTTTTTTTTTTCTTTCTCGTTGGATATATAATTAAAAACAAAGGGGGGGAAAAACGGTTGTTTGATAAGCGTTTCAAATATTCCGGCAGTAACGGAAACTATTAAATAATTAAAATAACATAACCGACAAAGCAAGTTATTATCTTAACTTACAATGAATAAGACAAAAATTCCATTGAGAAACGTTCTTCTTTCTCGGAGTCTTTCTAGAACAAATGGAAGACATTGGAATAATGTCATCAAAGTGTCACTCAACATGAAGGATTAGGGTCGTGATAGAGTCTGCGAAATCATCATCTGTCATTTGGATCCCTTCCCAGAGGTGACAGCAAAATGTGCCTCTTTTTAATAATACGAGAAGACACAACCCTTTCCCAACATATAACTGATGAGGCATTAATGTCCTTTCTTTCTTTTCTTTTCTTCTTTTTTTTTTACCCCCAGTCCTTCTTTTTTTATGAGATTCCTTGACTCACGCAATAGAACTCAATCAAGAAACCATAAAGCTGTACGAGAGGGACAAAAAAATGTTCGAAATTTATTTACAGTTAATAGTTTTAAACTAGATGGATATCTTTAGTTTGTCCGTAAAAAATAACGTTAATATATCACTCATTCGCTGCAATAGTGCCACAACTCAAAAAATCAAGTTTTGAGATAAATGGGTTTAAAGTTTTCACTGTTAAGCAAAATGCATAAGAAATGTTTTAGTTTGCTTAACCGAAGATTGCCTTCAAGTTAAATTATGCGTTGTGCTAGTATTGCTGCTGAAAGAAGGTGTATTTTCATATTTGCACCTGTTCTTAGTCCTAAACGCGTGTTTTTTTTGAGCTGTGCCACTATTGCAGCCCAAATACAGAAATGGACATACTGGAGTTTTGGTTCTATATAAAGGACGATTCCGCTGTTTTGTCCAGAGCGAAATTAATTAATTTCTGAGTAAATCAAAACAGCGTGAATGTAGCACAAATAAAAATACAGAAATGGACATACTGGAGTTTTGGTTCTATATAAAGGACGATTCCGCTGTTTTGTCCAGAGCAAAATCAATTAATTTCTGAGTAAATCAAAACAGCGTGAATGTAGCACAAGTAAAAATACAGAAATGGACATACTAGAGTTTTTGGTTCTATATACTTGTCCCTACTGCCTTTGTTATTATAGAACCGAAAGTATACTATAACGATTTCTGTATCTTTATTTATACTTTATTCATGTTGTTTTGCTTGACTCATACGTAGCATAAAGTATATTCTATCCTTCTTAGGATAATTTTTTTATACCTGTCAAAAAAGTATTTTATATATACCAGTCATGGTAGTCATTTTAATAAATCAAACTTTTTGAACCAAAAAGTCAAATGTTACACTAGAAATTTTCGTACGGTTAGAAAAACTCATTCAACACAAAAGTCGGTAATAGTTGGCTATCCCAGCCTTGTTATAGTAAACCCAAAATCGTTCATTTATCAATTCATTACCACCATCAATATAATTTTCATTAACTTAGCTATCTCACTTTCCCAAACTAAAATTTTAAAACTTTTACTGAGTGCTAGATTACTAGATTCAAATATTTTCGTAAATAAATGCTGTCGACAAGAATATTAAGAAACTTTTTAGGGATAAAAAAATCAATAGATGACCATTTTTAGGACCAGTGGATGTCCTTTACCCCATTTCTAAATTGATGGAAAGAATGGTAATGATCCGTGTCTTAAGACCATTTAAGCAGGCCATTCTCCTTGTTCCTTAAACTCATCTACACCCCTATTCAACCCTTTTTTCCCCGATCTTTTATCCACTGTTCATCGGAAATAGATCGATCTAGTTCCTCCAGTTCCCCACTGAGTAGAGAAGACGACATTTCTTGAAAAAGATGCTATTGAGTCAATCAATTGCCATGTGTAAATTGAACAAGATCAGAGTGATATAGGTTTAAGAGATTAAGGAAATGTTAACAAAAAAGTGTGGTCGGTTAAAAAAAAAAAGAGAGAGATAAAGCAGACAAATAAAATGCTATGACGGAAAATTTTAAAAAATTTAAGAGAACAAAATTGATGCATTGAATTCAAAATTGATGCTATGAATTACTGAGTTATAAATCTTCATCCATGATTCAAGCATTTCAATCTTTGTCCATTGCACAATAACTCCTTGAAGTTAAGAGGAGTAGCATAAAAACATCTTGTAACCAAGAGGAACCACTGCATGAAGCTATTTGAAATCAGGAACAATTGCAAAATCAGAATCACTTTGTATTCAAGATGAGCTATTTCTTGAAACTTCGAAAAGTCAGGAAAAATTGTATAAAAACTTCTGATAATCAAGGTCAGCAACTGCCCAAAAACATTTTGCTGCCATGAGGAGATATAGCATAAAATCTCTTTGCAATCAAGACAGTCAATCCTTATCATAAAGACTTTTTGCAATCAGGGATCATAACGTAAGAACTCATTACATTCAATAACCATTGTATAAAAAATTCTTGCAATGAAAAGTCATTGGATAAAAACTCAATATAATCAAGAGCCATTGTATAAAATCTCATTGCAATCAAGAACCATTGCATAAAAAATCTTTGCAATCAGAATCCATTGCATAAGAATTTATTGAAACAGATTTCAGTGACTTGAACAAAAACTCACTATAATCTAATCCATAATCATAAAGGAATTATATACTTTTTTTTATTTATCATAGTAAAAAATATTATAAACCTATAAGGGAAAAGGTTTCACGATCTAAGATACTTCAAAGCAAATTATAACAAAAAAATTTATTGACTCATTTATGTTATCAGAATAATCTTACTTAAACAATCTAAAAATTCTATGTTCCACAATTATTAGTCCTATGAAAACTAAAAATGATATAGTCATTTCTTAGTAGAAGTCACGGATAAAATTATAATTCGGTTACTAATTCTGCGTGAATAAAATATTAACAATTACAGAAAAGAATTGCACATAGCTATAAATGAAATATCATACCTGCAGTATGTATCCTCTGTTATAGTCCTCGTAAGTCCATCCAAATCCGTGAAGGACATGGACGACTTCTTCCTGCTGAAGGACGCTGAACAACCTGTCTAGTAGAATCTTCAGTCGGATGGGCATCGCCTCTGTCCCGTACAGCATCAGGGAGGCGACGTCAAATGCGACTGTTGGTTGAACTACTTCGACTTGATGACAGTTGAAGAGGTGACGAAAGCCCAACTTGTCCAGTGCTACAAGAAGTTCGAAAAAACTTAAATTTAGAGTTTTCAAAATTAATATGCAAACTACACAGGTTCACTTAAAGTAGTTAATATTTACAAAAAGTGGTGCTTAAGTTTATTGCAAAGTACGAAATTTCATAGCCAATATTCTACCATGGTCAATACTACTTAAAATACTGTACCTTCTAAACATTGGTAGGTATATATATGGGTGTTCCTGTTATCCGACTGGTATTCTAAAATACGCTTTAAGGTAAAAAACTGTTGAAGACCCCTTGATTAATGTATGAATTTATAACTCCATTACTACGAAGCACAGAATTTCTCAACGATGTATTGAAATGGGTTAACATAGTTATGAACCCAAGATTAAGTCCCCGACAAAATTTTAAGTAGTATTAATATTTGTTAAATGCAATAAATAATTCTTTCTAGAGTAAAATTTAAACTGAAAGCCTCTATAGTTACAAGCCACGATTCCTCCAAAAGTAAAATTTCTTATATCAAAATGTGCCTTGAAATTTTTTTTCCCAAGTAGGTCAAGTTTTTGGAATTACAGCTAGATAACAACACAATACACAAAAACATCTTAGCTCCTCTACTAGAAAATCGTACTAATTTTTACCAAAAACGTTATATTCAACAGTTTAAAATGTGACTTATATTGCCTTCAAATATTCCGTATATTGCTTTCAAATATTTTATATAATGACTTCAAATGTTCAGTACACTACCTTCGAATATTCTGCATATTGCCTTCAAATACTGTCTATGTTCAAAACTAAAATAACACCTTTACCAACATATTACGAGATCTTGAAATACTGTAAAATTAATTATCTAAAAAAAAATTTAAATATGCCTCCTGCTTATTTCATTGCAAAATAACTTTCACACAATGAACGATTTTCATTCTTGTCACATGAACATAATTGAAGTCATTTACTTGGGCGTCCATATCTTATTCACCAGTTCACATCAAATAATAAAAGTGCAATTTGGCGATATCATTTTCACATATTCATTATGACATCACCTTGGATTTCCCCAACTGAATGAAAATAAATAAATAAAAGTGTCAAAAGCGATCCATTTATCATACATTTAAACAAAACAACAAAAGAACCGAAAAAACTAGTTTTTTCCATGCACATCATTCACTGTAATATTCAACTAAAGTATTACTGTTTTGTTGATTGCAGTTTACATCTCTCTGCCTTCTTCCTCTCTGGAATATTTTTTACAAAACTGTTGGCGGTCATTGTTATTAAATAGTGTCAGTCAATGTGCTGACAAATATCTTAGGAGCAAGAGTCATGGATTTATACGAACGGAAACTCGTTACTCAGGGTTTCTAATGTGCAGGTCAGCACCCAAACGGTACAAGAACGGAAAGATTTTGAAGGCAAACCACGTATCATTTATTCATCAAAGAGAATAATCGATTTTGATATCTGGCAACGAGTTTTAATTTTCCTAATCTGAGCACGACTATCTGACTGATTCAATCATAAATCATTTAATCATGCAGATTATTTTTATTCCTGGTGATTTTTTCTCATCTCTGAAAAGAAAATTCGAATAAATCAACATCATATCCGTTATTGAGCATTGATATTTGTTTGAATAGCTTAGATTGGAACAGAATAAAGGCAAGCAAGATTTTTAAAATTTTTCAGAAGAGCGTTTGTGGAGTGGGAAAAAACGTGATTTTCATGTTGGCAATTGTATAATTCTATGTACTTAGTGAAAATTCATATCTATGAAGCCAAAACCTTGCATAGGGTACAATAATATTAAGGAACAATTTCTACTTGAGATATCACCTTTGGAAAAAATGTCGCTTATTGTAAGGCCATAGCGTTTCAATTGATTGACGTAAAAAAAAAAATTAAAAGAACAATCTGAAAATGCTCAGCTACATAGCAGTCTTATAATAGTCTTTATAACAGTCTACTTGGACTCATATACAAATTAATGCTATTGTTTGTCTTTTGAAGTATGCATTCTCTGAAATAGTACTCTTTTCTCTTATACTCCGTTGCAACGAACTATTCTTATTATTTATTTATAATTTTTAATACTTAACTCTTAAAATTAATTTTTGAAAATATTAGCAATAATTGTTTATAATAATTGTTTACAATAACTTAAGACTATTGTATTAAAAACTCGTACACATTTGCTATGAACATACAACTGGTGTCATCTATGTAGTACAGCTTTCAGTAGTTCTGCTTCTATAAAAATTAAGAAGCCCCGCTCAAAAAATTTTAATTCATCAAAAATAATGATAATCACTATATTTGGGGAAAATTATGTCAAAAAATATTGTGAAAAAGAAAATGTCATGCATAGTAATTATTTTTTAATAACAAAAATACGCATAAAATTTCAATAAATAAGCGAATTTTCAGGATTAAAAGCCATTGCACAGATATATTTTAAACAATATAAACACATTCTGCCAATTTTTTTTCTATTTTTACAAACTTCATCTGAAAATAAATTTCGCTTGGTAATAACTTATAAATAGAACAGAAAAAAAACTTGAATCAAGACCAGAAGCTAAATAAAATAGCGATAAAAATCAACCGCCCTTAATATCTCAACGATAGGCTAAAAACATCCCATTACTCAATTTTTTCTCCACTCTTAATCCCCTTGCCACTATATAAATTTCACTCTTTTTATCTTGTGTTTGATATTCTTAATAACGAAGCTAAATAATAAAATAAATTGAATGAAAAAGAATAAAATAAAATAATAAAAATCAACAATCTGATTGATGAATGGGATATAGAAGCTCCAGCGTTCATTTTCCCTCGGTTCAATTAGTATTGACTTGGGCGTTGTCCTTTAGTATTGATCAAGCTATTAAGAGTGTCGATGCCACCGTTTAGAGATAATTTAACAGGGGGGTTCTCGCAGGGGGAGTGGGGGACGTTTGAGAAAAAAAAGTTTAACTTGTGTGGGAGTTGGAAGTAATAACTATATACGTTTTAGAGAGAACGTAACGCTGGGGATCAAGCAAAGAAATAATACTCGGAGGGTGAATCACATTGATCTATCGGTATGTCAAATAAACGATAGCATTAAATTGTCTATTATGAGTCCAAGCTGATCAATCAATGTGATAAGACAGTCGTGAAATAAGTTTATTCTTATTTAATGTTTTCAGTGGCGTTCACTTGAAAAGTTGAGTTACTCCAGGATCTGGGGGACAAACAATCAGCATATTATGTCGCATCAAGCAGCAAAGAAAAATAAGCTGAATAAATAAATTTCGGTGTACCAAAATTACGAATTTTAACAATGACAAATTAAATAAATAATTAGTCTTCACTTCGCATAATTTGAATTTCAAACGAGAACACTATTTGTCTAATATGAGTCCAAGCAAATCAATCAATGTGATAAGACAACTGTGAAGTTCGGTAATAAATTTATTCTAATTTAATTTTTTCAGTGTCTTTTTATTCATAAAGCTTTTTTAAAATGTGAGTCCATCATGAACTACATACAATTTTTAAAACCTGAGCTCCCAAACTGGAAATTACAGCTCTCCGCAGGCCTTTAACCCCTTGGGGACGTGTGATTCAGAAAAGCATTTGTACAAAATCAGAATCAAGTTGTAATTAAATAAAAAAACGGTAACTTAAATGTAGTCTTTGCTAATTTGACAAACTTACTTTGCTTTTACTTTAATTACTGTTAGTTTAAAAAACTGTATAATCAATGTTAATTCAAAGTATAACTGAATAGTTTTATTTTGAACAAAGTAATGGTGAATTAAATAAATCAAACAATTATAACTCCGCCCACAAATAAACTGCTAAGGAAATACTTTGATTACGATTTTTATCTTTTTACCCTGATTGATACGGTTTCATGCTGGCACGTATTTGTGACAATCGGCGCGAAAGGGTTAGGGGGTTATGAAATAACAATTTCCGGAAGCAAATGTTCTTAAATTTTCTTCAAGCACTTAATCAACATTTAATTTAACAGCCTTTTTATACATAACATTGATTTATTTAAATGTCTCCCATGGCACATATTATTTTAAATTGGATATTAAAATTAAACTTTGCTATCACATTAATTATATAGAAAAAATATCAGACTTATGTATGGCTATGTTGGAAAGTATGCAAAAATGCATGTGACAGAAGTAGCATTATCACACAGGTGTGATTCTTACATTTCACATAAGCTGGTTGGTGTCGTGTCCTTGAGTGTGTAAAACACAGCCGGCTAACTCCTCGATGTCAAAGGGCGGGGGGGATTCCTCAAGCCGAGCCAGAGATTATATAGTGCATAAGTAAATTGAAGAAATTAATTAATTATATTTTAAATTTCTTTTTCAAAACTGGTAGTAAAATATTTTCTTTTTTTATGAATATGTGATTGTCTCAAAGAAAGTTAATACAATCAATGGATCATCAATAAATCATCTATTCAATATGTGCCCTTTCATAGTCTGAACACAGCATAAATACACTGAAATCTCCTTTAACAATAGCTTGGGCAGTTTCAATCCAGATACCGATGTCTGGCGAACAATCCGACAAACAAAAAGATCTTGAAAATATATTCAACTGACATTCCATCTAATTATAAATAATTCATAACTGAGATAGCTCACCACTTTATTTTAATTGTATTCCATCTTCTGGGGCGAGGGGCAAATTAGTATGGACCCTGACCGGTCATGTCTCCGAATAAGCCACACCTCCCACTAGAAGGAAAAAGTAGTGACACAACCAGGTCAAACAATAAGAGGAACCACCCTCACCTTTTGTAATCGACACTTCGACCCATTGCTCAATTATTCCTTGATTGCTGTGGGAAAGGAATCCTTATTTTCTCTTTGTCCACAACAACAAGAATGAAATCTTATAGAAGTGTGTCGCTGAGCAATTAGGAAGACTCTATGCATATCATTGGAAACACAATCCGTGGCAAGTTTTGTTTCACTTTCAGTAATTTAAAATTTAAAGTATAGA